GCCTGTGGTCATTAGCTAAGTTCCTGAATCTAGGGCTTTCCAGTCTCCAGAACTGTAAGAAATACGTTGCTGTTCTTCATAAATTACCCAGTCTCAGGTATTTTGTTCTCACAGCTTCAAACAGAACAAGACACCAAGTTTGTCTGATTGTCATGAAGCAGCAAGGGTCCCTCATGCCTCTGTCCATGGCTTCAGGCCAAGCCCTCTCAGGGGTCAGCAAAGGGTGAGGTCAGCAGGGCCCAGAGACTGGGCAATACCAGCCACGTTCCTGCTCATTCCTGGGCTCCATTTGCCAGTGATTTGTGCAGTACCATAGGTGGGATGTGGGCACTGGAGCCAGAATGCCTCGGCCCAATCCCAGCTCTGCCACTTCCCAGCTGTGTAACTTGAACAAATGGCTGTCTCTCCAAGCCCCGATCACCATAAAATGGGGACAGCAATAGAACCTCTTTCACAGGAGACCCTGAGGGCAAAATGAGGAGCTAGAGGAGCATAAGCACATGTGGGCTCTCAGCATGCCAGCTGTCAAGTCCCTCTCTGTCGCTGGCACCTGCCACCCGCCTGTAGAGGCAAACAGCAGACGCACTCATGTCTTCAAAGAGCATGCTGGTTTATGGGGACAGGCAAGTAACACGCAATGAATGCAGGATGCGGAAGCAGGGGTTGCTAGGGAGTGTGGTGGTGGGGCTCTGCCTCCGACTAGCTGCAGGACCTGGGCAGGGGCCCCCATGCCTCATTTTCACCTGTTGCCTGAGGTGTCAAGAGAACAGGAGACTGACTACCTGGTCAACTTCATGTCATACCTGTCCTGACCACCAGAGGGCTCACGGAGCAGCTTTTGCGGGTGGGGCTACCAGGTCCTCCAAACGCTAGGCTGTCTGGGGTTGGGTGTTTATGCTGCTGGGCCACCAACAGAGAAGACCACGAGTGATGTCCCCCAGGCTCCCGCTTCCCCCCCCCACCGTCTGCCCAGGACCTTCCATTCGCATAGCGCATCTCAAGGACCTTCCTAAAGTCCTTGTGTCTTCCAAGCTGCCGGATCTGTGGGGACCCTCATACCCCAGGCTGGGCAGAGGGCAGGAAAGCCTGGAGCAGGGTGGAGGAGCCAGCAGGTGTGGGCAGTGGGCTCTCAAGCCCTGGCACACAGCAGGCACTCAGCCAGTGGTAGCAAGTGGCAGTTAGTATTCATGCTGCTGGACTTCTTGAAGGATCCTCCAGCACGACATGCACTTGGTTCACGTGTTGGGGATCCCTGCAGGAATCCATGAGCGAGCACCACTGCCAAGAAAGTGTGCCCCTCCTCCTGCTGAGACACAAGAGCCACTTCTGCCCCTGCAGAAGCCCTGCAGGAGGAGGCCCCAGACAGCTGTCCCCTGTCCCTGCTTGCCATTCATTTCCAAGGCTGCCCAGTGACAGGTGCACCAGGCCCAGCCCCAGGGAGGTGAGTTCTTGGTTTAGTGGGGTACAAACTCTTTTAAAAAATCTAAGGAACGCTGGGACCCTTTCCCTAGAAAAGCCAGTTCATCTCCAATTTCCAGGGGAAGTGTGAGCCTCTGCTATCTCTGGACCCAGGTTATCAACTCCTTTCCCGGCCTGGTGGTTTCCCATACTAGGATGAGGCGGGATGCGGTGCACATATGACCTTATTACTCTTTATAAGAAATGGGGATGTAATACTACCCCCGTTTCGTAGACGACAGAACAGTCTCACAGGGTGAGGGCCGTGCCAGCTGGTGGCACAGTAGTCAAGGCAGTTGGATGCCACATGGCCAACAGCACAGCTCAAGTCCCAGAACCAGCAGCTTGAAAAACATACTGGCTATGTGTGAGCAAATGCCTGAAACGCCAAGAGCGGAATGAAGGAGAAGGGACCACGATTCCTGCTCCAGGGGATGGTTTCTCACTTTCCCTCTCTCTGGGGAGCGTATGTGTCCTTACAGCAAATTAAAAAATAAATAAATAAACAGGGTAAGGGCCTTACCCAAGGTCACAGAGCAGAACTTGCATTCTCCCCTTTGCACAGAAGGGGACTTTGAGTCCCCTTTTGCCCCTTTGTGAGGGATTTAAATGAGTGAAAGAGCTGATGAATGAATGAAGGGTCTCGTCACGGGCTCAGGAGTAGGGCTGTGGATGGGTCAGCAGAGGAGGGGGGGGGGCCCTGGTGATGTAGGAGGGGGTTAGGTCTAGACCCCAACCCCCAAGCTCCCCATCCACAGCGGATGTCAGGAATTCCCCTCATGGGCTGCCCTGGACCCCAGAACATCTCTATAAAGCTGACCCCTCAGACCATAGGCCCATCGCAGTGAGCAACAGCCCTGGCCTTGGTGGCAAGGGTGAGGCATACACATGGAGGACATCGTGAGCGAATAACCACACTATGGGGAAGCCTCCCTGGGCACCAGTGGCCCACCTGTACTGGCGCCAGCTGGGCAGACAGAGGGCTAACGGCTGGACTGCAAGCAACTTACGTCACGAGTGGGCACAGCCCAGGGCGAGGCAGGGCCCACCTCAGGTGACTGACTCACCATGGGACTCCTCCTTCCCCCTCCTGTGCACCACTGTGGCAGACCAAGTGTCCACTGTGGCCTGACCCTGGGGCAGAGACTTACTTAAAAATGTGCCACGACTTTTCCGACAACCCAATCGCACCTAGTCCTCACAATGACCTCTTTAGAGTGTGAATCCCATTTTTAGTCTCTTTGTGCAGGTGAAGAAACTAAGGCCCCAAAACAGAGAAATCATCTACCCACTGCTGGGAAGTGGCTGCTCCAGAAGTCACAACTGGGCCTCCTTGTCCCAAAAGCCTTTGCCCTAAATCCCCAGGCTCAGCCCTGGGCTTGGCCCCTTGCTGCCACTTCTCCACATGCTGCCCTCCCACCCCTCAAATCAAGCGAACCCTTTATCCTGATGTTTGCTATTCTGTGTGATGTACCAGCGCCCCCTAACTGGCTGTCCACTGCTTCCTGCCGGTCCATCCCCATCAGCATGAAGGCCATCTCTGTGGAAGCCTGACCCTCTGGTCGCTGTCTTGCTTAAGGCTTGACAAGGTGAAGGAGAGAGCATTAATGGGGTAGTTTCCATACCAACCAGTCTTAAAAGTGAGAGGGTAGGGCCAGCAAGTGGCATGGTGGTTTAGGTGCTAGATCTCACACAGCCGACTGTGATTCGAGTCCCAGACCTGGTGGTATGAGAAACACAACAGCTGCATGTGTGTGTATGCCCAAAATCCCAGAGGATGAAGGAGAAGGGACTATGGCATGGCCATCCACCCTAGACTGTGTGTGTGGGGGGTAATTCCTATTTTCCCTCTCTCTGCATCTTTTTCTTTCTCTCTCTAGCGAGTTCATGTGCCCTATGACAAAAATGTTTTAAAAAATAAAAAGTGAGAGAGACAGACAGTATATACAGAAGTCCCCTTGACTGTTGTTTCACTTTCCACAGTCTCAGTTACCCACGGTCAACCATGGTCCAAAAGTATTAACTAGAAAGTTCCAGAAATAAACAATTCATTAAAGAGATTTTTGCCATAGGGCGCATGCACTTGCTGGAGAGAGAGAAAGACAGAAGCAATGAGAGGGAAAGTGAGAAACCACCACTCAGGGGGCATGGCCACACCACAGTCTCTTCTCCTCCATTCTCCTCCCGGGATCTTGGGCATGCACACAAGCGCAGCGATGAAAGTTTCAAGCCACCAGGTCCGGGACTCAAACCACAGCTGGTTATGTGGGAGTCCAACAACATAACTACTATGCCACCTGCTGGCCCTAACAATTCCTACGTTTTAAACCGTGTGCTATTCTGATCAGCGTGCTGAAATCTCGTGCCATGCAGGCCCTCTGTGCCCAGGATGTGAATCCGCCCTCTAGCCAGCGTAGACCCACACTGTCTACACCACCCATGCACTAGACAGTTAGTAGTTATCTTGAAAGAACAGGTTGTGTGGTGGTTAAAGGCGCTGGACTCCCACGTGGCTGACCGTGGTTCAAGTCCTGGATCTGGTGGCTTACTCACTTTCTCTCTCTCTTTCTTTCTCTCTCTTTCCACCCCTCTCTAGTCAGATAAATAAGGTTAAATAAAATAATTATTTTAGGAAAAAAAGAAAGAAAGGACACAGTATATGTGGGGCAGTTCCAAGCATCCACTGGGGGTATTGGAACGAATGCCCCACAGACAAGGGGGGACTACTATATATGAGAATGCTCTCCACTTTCCAAGGGACTTTTCTGTAAACCTTAAACTACTTTCAAAAATAAAACCCACTGGGCCCACTTGGTGGAACAGAGCTAACTCACTGCCCGGGCCACCCTCGGCCTACGTGGGACTTTGGACATTGAAGTCCCTGTTTGATCCACACAATCGGGCGTGTGCATACCCGAGACCTTAGCTAGGGGTAGGGAAATTACAGCAGAACCCCTGTGGCAGATGTTTGTCTCTCTCTGTCCCTGTCTCTCATGAAAGGAAGAAACTTAGAAAATATCCATCAATTAAAATTTTTTAAAATATAAAAATGTTTTTACTCTTGGCCCTGCCATCCTCCTTG